CCCCCCCCACCCCCGACTCTTGTTGTTGGTCGTCTAGCGGACGTAGCTGCAGATCTAGACCCCATTCTACCTCCTTACCTCCCCCCGTGCCTCGATGTTCCCTGAAGGTGCTCCAAACATCAATGTCATCCAACTGCAACGAATCAAAACCTCCTTTTTGCAAAGATAAATCTAAACTTACATTGTCTTCAACTTCCCTTTCCTCATCTCTTGCCAGGTCAAACTCTCTCACTGTGTCTGAGTCCGTGAATAGTTCAGTGAAAGCTTTGTCTATTGAAAATGCTTTAAGACTACAGGGGGAAAAAACGACTGTACGAGTCACAAACTGAAAATGGTGAGGGTACCAATTCTGAACGTTTGTTGACTCGTAACTATATTTCTGTTCAACAGTTGGTTGATTACTGTTGTTCGATTTCCCCTGTACTCTTCACATGTTTCGTCATCACAATTTGCGATGACGACGACACAAACTCCTATTGCTGCATTTCCTGGATCAAAACAAGCAAGCAGAAGTTGTATATTTACTAGAAAGGTGGATCAGTTCTTTAGAATTTGTCAGTTGATATTTTGATATGACCATTGTCATACCTCGGCAGTGTGAGTGCACTTGTGGTCAAACCTCTGATGAAAGGGTTAACGAACGAGTTAATGAATGGGTTAACGAACGAGTTTATGAACAAGTTAACGAACGGGTTAATGAACGGGTTGATGAACGAGTTAACGAACAGGTTAATGAACGAGTTAATGAACAGACCACAATATCCTCCAATGTGGGAGATATAGCGGTGAGACTAAATGTACAATTTTTTATCTTTTTTTCAAATTTTATTGGGAAGAGTATTTTCTAAAAAGTACTTTCCATATTGTAATGTAAGGATCCACGGATCGGAGGTTTTTTTCTGTTGTCGTGTTTGCTCAACAAATCCCACTGTGCCCTGTTGCTGGTGTCTGTCTATGACTATTTCACAAATTACAGAACAGTTTGTGGGTGGTTGGCGGGTGCTCTTGTGTGGTCTGCTTCTTCTTTCCTATCAAACATCTGTCGTCTTTATCTCCCCACCTTCTTTTTTGGGTTTGTTACTCTTTTGTAACACCTCTAATCTTCTGGCGCTCATATGACCTTATGCAGTTGCGAGCGCCGTAAAACTCTTACTAAAACTAAAACTTAACTATCTCCCCTCCTTCTTTTTTGGGTTTGTTACTCTCTTGTAACACCTCTAATCTTCTGGCGCTCTTATGCAGTCGCGAGCGCCGTAAAACCTGTACAAATTGCAGAACAGTTGTGCTCGCTGAAAGTCTCTGTTCTTTCTTCACCAAGGCCACCATTCTGCCAAGCTGACTGGCTAGGCAATACCTTTTCCAAGTACTTATTCAGTTACAAATTTTTAAAAACAAGAATGTCTCAATGATTTCGAGTACATATACCTGAGGTACCTAGCACAATGGAACTGTCGACCGTCGTTTTTTCTAGGATGGTGGATTGATGTTTTCTCAACTTAATTAAATTATACACAAGTAAAACTATGAATCACAAGATATAATAATATATGTTATATGTACTGATATGATTGCACGAGAAGTTCTGTATGTGTAGCTGCAGAGGCCGGATTCACTGGATGGCCAATGCACAATGGTAGAAATACGCATAATTTTTAAAGAAATGTATGTATATATATTATAGATATTAGAATAAAAGCTATAAGTTATGGTTGCATTTTTTGATGAGATATGAGATGATTGAATGAAATGGATTGTGGTGAAGAGCGAAAAAAAAATTGGTTTTCCTGAACATTTAGAGTGTGGTTGGATGTATTGACAGTGCT